CGGGGCTCGGCCGAGTTGAGGCGGCGGCGCCTGTCGGTGCAGCCCGCACGCGGGCGCCTAGCCCTCACGATGATGAAGAAGAAGAAGTTTAAGTTTAAGGTGGACTTCGAGCTGGAGGAGCTCTCCTCCGTGCCCTTCGTCAACGGGGTCCTCTTCTGCAAGATGCGGCTGCTGGACGGCGGCAGCTTCACCGCGGAGTCCTCCAGGTAACGCGCCCCGCGGGCTCTGCTCCGGCTGCAGTCGCTCGCCGGCGGGAATTGTTGCACGGCCGGCATCCCTTTCCTCGTGGCCCCTTTGCTCCAACCGGGCTGCCAGCTGGGTGAGCCCGTCGTCCTCCGGGGACGAGTCTGAAATCAGTCCGGAACATCGATCGGCACAAACTGCTTCGCAATGGGTTCACCCGGCTGGCCTTGGCTCTTGCGCTCCTGGCTCCAGATGGTCCCTGGTGTCTGCCTTTTCCTCCCAGTTCTCTAGGAATGGGATGATGGCTTAGAGGGAGAGGATGCTTCTGGGTTCTCTTAAGACATTCTCATATTTGTAAAATACAAGGTAGAGGTAGAACTTAAGAGCCTTAAATGCGAAAAATGACCCAAACTGTTCCAAGAGCGCCCGCTTGGAAACGCCTGTGGTTGACAAACGCCTCTGGTGACTCTGCTGTGACTTAGGTGCCCAGGACAGGGCTGGGGTAGGCCTGGTCCGGCTTGACTTGAGTCAGGTATTCCTGGCAGACCTATCAGCCTCATCTTGGACCTGCGTCTCCAGTTACGGGCTGATACTCTCAATTACCCATCGTCAAGTGGCCACTAGTGGGTCTCAGGAGTGTAGGACTTAGAACCAGGAGAACCCAGACTCTGCCCTCATTTTGAAATGAGCCCCTGGGCACTCTGAGAGAGTGCAGCTGGTTACAGAATGCAGCCAGACGTGACAGGGTTCCTTGGGTAATTTAAGGACTGTTCACAAATTGACAGATTTGCCCTTATATTTTTCTCTACAATAAAATAGAAAATTTGAAGAAGGTTTTGAACGAAATTTTAAGTTCTTGAACTCAGGAGAAGGGTTAATAGCTAATGTTTATTTATTTTATATATGCTAGCTATAAACATAATTTTTATGCTAAAATAATGTCAGTGGGTTGTGGGATGAGAGCCAGGAAATTGTCCACTGTGACATAATGAAGCCTGTAGAAACCAGAAAATGCCCAATTCATTAAGGTAACAGATGTATGAAACGTTATTGATTCACAAAATGTGAAAGTCCGCTGAGGATAATTTTTAACATTACACTGTGCTGACAAATCTGTAAGCATTCAGCTAATTGATTATACTATCATTTGACACTCTTGTAAGAGTGTCAAATAATCAATGAGTTGGAGGGTTTGGGGGCTGGGGAGAAACTCTCCTAGCTCTTGGGATGGAAAAGCCTAAATCAACCCTGAATGTCTTCTGCGGAGAAATTAACAGTCTTGCCCTGAGGCCTAGACAGAAGACTTCAAGCAGCAGGGTATTTAGTCCCCACCTGGAGCAGTTAGGCCTGGACTTCTGGCCCAGTGGTGACACCTGGTGGTCAAAATAGCTTCCACTACCTCTCTCCCCGTTGTTGGTTTGTCTTCCCTTTCCAGATCAGTTATTTAGTCATCAAAAACAGTCATTTTTTTTTTTAGCAAGCATGTCCACTGAGCCTTTTAAGCATACTATCTTATTTAATTCTCAAAGCATGGATATGAAGTGGAGATTCTCATTTTGCAAGTAACTATGTGGAGTCTTAGGAAGCACACATTGCCAAAGTTCCTTCCTAGCTTATAATGTAGTGTCCAGATCTGGTACAAGTCTAGCTTCAAACAGGATGATACCAGATAACAGCAGGGTGTGTGGTGTTGGTTTCTGAATTAGCAGCTTACTAACAGTTTTAGGTGCAAGGGCTATAATTTGGTTTATCCTCTGCAGGATAAAAAAGTCAAATATCCTGAATTATACATACCCTTTCCCCTCCAACTAACTAAAACCTGGCTTAATCCAAAGAAATAATGTTGCCAGACTTTCTAGCCAAACAACAACAACAACAAAAAACCCCATGTAGCTTGAGAGAATGATTTTTAATAAGGAAGATGGGCTTTTGAAGTTGGGTAGAGAGTTAGAGTAAAGCTAAGAGCACCAGCTTAGACTAAGATGGATCTAAGCTAAAATGTCAGTTCCACCATAGCAAACCTGACTGGGGTTACTTAGGTCTTCTCAGCTAATCCACTCAGTTCTAAAACTGAAACAGTCACTGATTTGAGATTATCTTGAGGATTTAGTAGGACAGTGTACCTGAAACACTAACGGTGCTTTGGCATAGAGTTGACAAAGAAGAGGCCAGGAACTCATTGAAGAAAGTCTGTTTGCTTAAATGTTCTATTAACTCCCTTGCCCTAACAACTGCAAAAATGTTAGTTTAAAAAAAGATACCTTGAAGTGGACATCACAACATACTCCTTTAATCCCAGCACTCAGAAGGCAGAGGCAGGTGGATCTCTGTAAGTTCCAGGTCAGCACTTGAGAGGCGGAGGCAGGAAGATGAGGAATTAGAGTCCAGCCTGGATTATATGAGACTATCTTACACAGGTACAAATGCACACACATACACATGCACAGAGTCAACAAAAAAGATACCTCACTTTACAAGGAGAAAGAGAAAATAAAATCATGTACCTTAAATAGCAAGTGTCAGCCTAAGGCAATAATACATCTCTGAATGTTAGTTTTTGTAATTGCTCAAGGGAACCCTTATGAATCATAAACCATTAACACTAATATTTCTCCCATAGCAATATGAAATGACTTACATCTAAGAGCAGGTTCAAGTCCTCAGAGAGCCTGCTTACAAGATTGCCTTTGACTAATGTTATGATTTACTTATCTGAATGATGGTTCACTATGCTTATGCTGTTTGTACAAATCGTGTGGTTCACATTCTGAGAGTCTGAAATTTGGGTTGTGCTAAGCAAAGGGCAGGAGCCTAAGGGACCAGCTATGTAATAAGCCATTGGACCCTGAGTCTCTAATGAGCTTCCCTGGAAGACAGCATATTGCCACAGTCAGATGCTATAGACACTGTGTGTTGATTCTGCTTTGTGTCCTTTCACTGTAAAGTCTTAGGGATGAGTACAGCCATGCACTTAGTCTGGAGCATGAGTACAGCTGTATGCTTAGTCTGGAGCATTCCCCTAAGGAAGTACCAGACCCCAGAATGATCTTAGAGACTCCATATAAAATAAGGGATTTTGTAGGGAAAAGTTTTAGTGATACACAGAAAAATTACACACCAAACACATACACAAAACTTGGCTTTTGTACAAAAACTACACATGCAGATGATTCATGGCTCACCAAATATCATTTAAGCAATTACCAGATTTCTAGCTCTCTGTCGAGGACTGTGAGAAGCCAAACTAATATAAGGGTCTACAAGGGAATAACCGCTACTTAATGAAATTAGATCATAGATGTCTAATTGCTGGACCATAGGAGACATATGACTTACTACCTAATCAGTGGGCCAGACGTGTGAGTGTTGAAAAAGAAAAGACTTTGTTTACAGACATCGTGGGTACTGAAATTGGTGTTATCATTTCAGTTGAACATGCTGAGAGGATGAATTTGCATTGAGAAGAAAGTGAGGTGGGAGGACAGCTTGAGAAAGCCATTAGTAGAGTTGGTGCTAGATCATCCTGATGGCAGAGAGTTCACAGGAACAGAAGCAGAAGGAGATAGTATTAGAAAAGGGCTTTGAATGACATTATAGATAGAGTTTGCTTTCCACTGCTCAGGGGATAAAATTCAATCCAGGATTCTTGAACTGAGTGTAATGTGATTAAAGTGGAATTTAAGCTGGCTGGCAGCCTGGTGCTGTTTGGATTCAAGTGGTAAATAGATAAGAGATGGGGAAACACATGACCGGGTGAAAACAGCCTGAGCGGGAACTAGTGAGAACCTGAACACAGATTTCTTATGCTAATAATTGGTAAGTGATAATGTGGTGGCTGATGCCTTGTGCCATAACAGAAGTCAAGAAAATGTTCTGTTTGGTTTGTTTGGGAGGATGCTGTATGTGGCTGTAGAGGGTATGAAGGGTTAAGCTATATGCTTAACATATTACATTTTAGTGATAGTAAGCCTGATAATCAGTTGATGGCACATTTATTTGGTATGTGGATTTCTTAGGTTCTGGCCTATTGGAGCCATACAATGCTTTATTATTTCTCATTAGAATTTCTTTACAGTGTTTTGCTTTTTTACAGAAGAGGAATGAAAATGAATTTTAGAAGGATCTAGTTTCTCCTGGGAGGGTTTAATCAGTTAAGAGGTTAGAAAAAAAAAGAAAAGAAAGGTTTTTATTTGTAATAAATGATACTAAAAATGGTCAAGGTAAATGGTTAGGTCTTCCACAATTAACAAAGCATTAGGAAAATATATTGTACCATTATAGTGGTCTACCAACTGAGGCCAGATGGCTGCCTAATAAAATGTTTTTGAAGACCAAATAAAATATTTTGAAGACCTTTTGAAGGAAGATGGAGCATTGTATTATTATAATCTTTCCAGAACTCTCCCTTAGTAAGCCATTTAAATCACTTTTAGGCTTCTTGGGGTTTCAGGACGGGTTTGATTCTGGTATGCTTAAATAAAGGAATAATAGGAAGAAAATTTTCCAACATACCTTATGATTTCTCAGTTTACCTTATTGTGTTCATCTTTGTGTGTATGTTGTTTGTGTGTGTGCGAGTGTATGCGCGTTAGTTGTTAAATAATTTCCAGGTTTCACATGAACTTGTGGAAAGAACACATGTGAATTCAGGGCGTATCCTGGAAACAAATGAGCACATCTGTGTATTGGATCTTTTATTGTATAAACAAGCTGAAAGGATTTTTTTTTCTTTTTGCCAGAGAACATCTTTGTTTTCAAGAATTTAATTCACTGCACATTGGGTACTACTTCTTATTACAAAAAAAATTCATGTGTGAAAACTTAGAAAAGCAAAACTAATAAATAAGCCACCCAGACTAGCCACTATTATTAATATTTTTGTATATAACCTAGGATCCCTTATTGGTCTCCTACACACACACACACATCTCCTCCCCCACACACAATAAACACTGGTCTTTCTTTTAATGTGTATGAGTGTATTGCCTGCATGTGTATAAATGCCTCTATGTCCAAGGAGGTC